CCCAATTGGGAATGGGTGATCTCTATTATGATTCCTAAGTAGGATTAATGTAAGGTATGTTTTCTCTGCCATCCACTGTCATACTGTGATGCCTTGCCCGTCACACTGATTTTGGAAGTTATGCCACCAGTATTTCAAATACCAGCAGAGTCACCCACGGAGAATTGGTTTCAGCAGAGCTTCTAGACTAAGAACAGATGCCAAAGAAAGAATAAGCAGTCCAGAGAAATCATTAAATTACCAGGGAAGCATGGCCAGATATAATACCAGAAAATGAGCCTATCAGGTTGGAAAGCACTCAAAATATGGCTGAGGAAGAACTTCATCCTCAATGTAGAACCAACCATAACGACATGGACGGAGGAAAGTTTTCTTGGAATTCATTTGCTGGAGGAGCAAGACTCAAGCAGAGAAGAAACTGCCGAGAACATCCTTTAATATACAAAATAGGGATAGCACAGAGTATGAATCAAGGGAAATTGGAAACCATCAAAAATGAAAGAGAACACATAAAAATTTTCAAGACATTACTGAACTAAAACAGACTGGTGTGGGCTATTTTGAGTGAAACAATCATATGGTTTCCTATGGTGGGAATTAAACACTCAAGAGAGTGGTGTCAGATTCATTGTCAAGAATATTTCAAGATCTTTGTTGAAGTACAATTCAGCTTTTGCTAGGATATTTATTTGCCTACAAGGAAGCCAGCTAATACAACCATTTTTTTCAAAAATACACACCAAAACTAGCTAGTGATGAGCAAATTGAAGGATTCTACCAACTTCTTTGGCCTGTTATTGATCAAACATACAATCAAAATGCAAAAGTTGGAAACAAAGAGGAAGAAACCGTAGTTAGAAAATACAGTGATGCAAATAAAGCTAGAGATCCCACAAGATTAGTTTGCAAGACCAATGACTTCTTCATTGAAATACTTATTTTCAACAAAAATGAATGATGGCTGTGTTAGTCTGGGTGGACTAGAGAAACAAAATTCATACAGACTCATATGTGTATAAGAAAGGGTTTTATAAAAGAGCAATTGTATATTGAGAAACCATCCTGGTCAATTCCAGATCAAGTCCATAAGTCCAATATTAGCCTATATGTCCAATACCAATCTATAAATTTCTCTTCAGACTCACAAAACACATGCAATGATGCCAAACATAGGAAGATCATAAGCCAGTGGGTGGGCAGTCTTGTGGATCCAGTGGTGGTGTAAGCATCTTAGCACTGGCAGGGATCTCCATGTGGCTCCTCCAGCTCCAAGGCTCTGGCTGCTATCACCCTGTCTCCATGTAGCTTGTCAACAAGAATGTCTCATGGGGAGTGTGCATGTCCAGCCTCCAATGAGCTATTAATCTTCTGTGAACTTCCAAACGAGGTCATCAAGCTGCGACCTGATTGACAGGCTAAACTCCGCCCCTTCACTTGTAATAGTTTCAAATTGACAGCAGATTATGTAACTACCACAATGATTATACCTCGAATTGTGCAAGATGGTATAAACAAGATTAAAATAGACAATATCTATGGGAAGAGACATCAGAGAAACTCGATATAAGCCTCCAAAACAAGGGCAGGGGCTGATGGTCCATAAATGACAAAATAAAACCTTGAATATATTGCACCTAAATTTTGAGAACATCTCAAGAATAGATTTAATGCATAGAATACCACTAATAGAAGGCCTAATGAGCTGTGACATGACATCAAGAGCATCATGCATGGAGAAAGAAAAGGGTCATTAAAAAGACAGGGAAGAAAGAGAAGCCCAAAGTATATGTCAGAAGAGACTCTGAAACTTGCTCTTGAATGTAGTTTAGGTAAAGCAAATGTAAGAAATAACAAACAGAAAAATTCAAATGGAAACTGTAGAAGACAAAATAAATGATTATAATGAAAAATGCAAACACCTGTAGTTAGGAAGCCCCCAAATGAAGAACACAGTCAGCATTGCTCAAGTTGGAAGAATTGAAGGAAAAACTTCAAGCATCAAACTGAGAAATTGAAGGATTTCATGGGCAAAATATTGAACCGTGTAGGATGCACTGAAAAGAAGTTGGGAGAAATACAGAGTCAATGCCCTACAAAGATTTGGTAGACATTCAACCCTTGCAAAAGATATCATATTATCAAAAACCAATATTGAAGGAAAAAGTAAGAGTTGCATTGAAATCATTAGCAAAAAGCAAGGCTCCGGGAATTGATAGGATCCCAACAGAAACGTTTGACAAGTTCACGAAGCATTAGAAGCACTCTGTGCTGAGAAATTGGAAAGGCAGTTGCCTAGCTACTCAGCGAAAGAAATCCATATTTTTAATCCATTCACACCAAAAAGTGATGCAACAAACTGTGAAAATTATGGAACAATATTATTAGTTCTACATATAAATAAAATTTTGCTGAAGGTAATTCAGAAATGATTGCAGTCATACAATGAGAGGTATGTTGCAAATTCAATCTGAATTCAGAAGACTATGTGGCATAAGAGATGTTATTGCTGATGTCAACTGGATCTTAATTGAAAGTGGAGAATTCCAGAAAGATGTCTACTTGTATTTTATTAAATATGCAAAGGCATTTGACTGTGTGGGCCATAACATACTATGGGTAGCATTGACAAGAGTGAAATTCCAGAACACTTAATTGTTCTTATGCAGAACCTATACATAGATCAAAAAGTACTTGTGCAAACAGAACAAAGGAATACTGCACAGTTTATAATCAAGAAAGGTGGGAGACAGGGTTGCATCCTCTCATCATATTTATTCAATCTGTAGACTGAGAAAATCGTAAGATAAACTGGTCATATGTAGAAGCATTAGGATTGGAGAAAGGTTTATTAAAAACCTATGATATGTATATGACACAATCTTGCTTGATGAAAGTGAAGCAAATTTGAAGCAATTGCTGATGAAAATCAAAGATCACACCCTTCAGTGTGGATTACTGAAAACCCAAAATCTTCACAAATGGAACAATAGGTAAGATCATGATAAATGGAGAAAAGATTCTACCTTTCAAGGATTTCATCTTACTAGATTTGCAATCAATGCTCATGGAAACAGCAGTCAAGAACTCAAATGATGCATTCCACTGAGTAAATTTGCGGCACAAGACCTCTTTAAAGTGTCGAAGAGCAAAGATGTTACTTTGAGGATGGTCTAGAGGTGAACTGACCCAAACCATGGTATTTTCAATTGTGTCATGTGCATATGAAATTTGAAAACTGAGATCTAAGTATATATATTTATATGCTAAATATTAAGGTAGCACGTGGACATTGGGCATCTGTTCAGGTACTCCCTGAATACAAGAACACTTTGTTCTAATAACCTTGCATTCTGTGATGCTCAGCTTCCCGACACAATTGCTGAAGACAAAACATGTGTGTAAGTAAATGTGGTGAAGAGAGTTAATAGTGCCCAGCTATGAAGAGATGTAGTGTCTGGGGTCTTAAAGGCTTGAAGATAAACAAGCAGCCATCTAGCTGAGAAGCAACAAAGTCCACATGGAAAAAGCACACCAGCCTATGTGATCGATCGTGAGGTGTCCATGGGATCAGGTATCAGAGATCCAGAACAAAAAATCATATCAATGTAAATGAAGGGGAGCATGGAGTGGAGACCCAAAGCCCATCTGTAGACAACTGGACATTCCCTTACAGAAGGGTCACAAGTAAGAGACAAGACAGTCATAGTGAAGTATAGAATCAGTGAAACATAGAACTCTCTTCTAGTTCTTTAATGCTTCCTCCCACCATCAGGCCCCATTTCTACCTTACAAATCTGGCTAGAGTAGAGCATGTACATGGGTACAGGTAAGAGTTAGAAACACAGGGAATCCAGGACAGATAAACCCCTCATGACCAATAATGACACGGTGAGTAACAGGAGGAGAAGGGGCAGGCGGGGGGAGCAAGAGGAAACCGAGCACAATGATCTGCATATAATCCCCTCCCAGGGGGGTGGACAACAGAGAAGTGGGTGAAGGGAGACATTGGTCAATGTAAGACATGAAAAAATAATACTAATTTATAAATTATCAAGGGTTCATGAGGGAGGGAAGGTGGGGAAGGGAGGGAAAACATGAGAAGCTGATATCAAGGGCTCAAGCAGAAAGAAAATGTTTTTGAAAAAGATGATGGCAACAAATAAAATGTGGTTGACACAATGGATGGATGGATGGATTGTGATAAAAGCTGTATGATGCCCCAATAAAATGATTTTTTTAAAAAAAAGAAACTTGGACACTGAATAAAAAAGAGCATAGAAGAATCCGTGCATTTGAATTACGGTGCTGGTGAAAAATATTGAAATTATCATGGACTGCCAAAGAACAAACAAATCGATCTTAGAAGTACAGCCAGAATGCTCCTTAGAGGTAAAGATGGCAAGATTTCATATCACTTACTTTGGGCATGTTATCAGAGGAAACAGTCCCTGGAGGTCATCATGCTTAGCGAAGTAGATGGACAAGGTGGATCGACATGGTGGCAGCAAGAATGGGCTCAAACAGTTGAGGAGGGCACAGGACCAGGGGGTGCTTCATTCTATTGAACATGGATGTTTCATTCTATTGTCCATGGGATCACTGAACCAGCTCATGCCATTTCACAACAGCAACATAGATTCACACACATACACACAGATATATATATAATAGTAAAAAGATCAAACTAACTTTTACTTTCAGGAAAGTAAGAACAAGCTGTGACATCCTAATTAAGTATTCCATACAAAGTTGATCTATATTATTTGGTATTTACTTAAATTTATGTACATATTTACAGAGGGAATTTTCAAGAAATATACACAAACATACATAAAATTTAGCATTAAAGCACATTAAATTAATGTCATAAAATTCTTTATTTTAATTTATTATAATTTCAGATATAGGCACAGACATTTTGACAAGTTTAAACTACATGGCTTCAAATATGTAAAGCGCTTTTGATAAGACAAAAATGTCAACATTTTACATATCCCAGAAATAATCTACAGTATATAAGAAGTAAAAGTTCCAGTTTCAGTAATTTTGAAATCCCACCCCAAACTGAAGAAACACTTAAAAAGGCTGTTGCTTACAAATATAAAACAATTTTCCCCCACAGGATTCTTCCAAAATATCTTTTGGGGGCTTATAAATTACACAATTCCTCAGCTTGAAAGTATTATGAGATGAAAATCTATAATAAAGGAGAAAATGATAATATGTAAGAGAAAGAAATGACAATATTTAGAGATATTGTTTCAGATTAAATGATAGAAATCTTAAAATATTTGAATTGGATACTGATAATATTAAGGCATTCTGATTTTTTTTTCCAAATCAATTGCCCACATTTTTGCGTTTCTAGATTACAAAGTTACATAGAACAGATTTACTTTCTCAATAATCACTAGCATTAGGCCAGCGGTTGGTTGGTTGTTGTCTTTAATGGTTTTGATGTATATTTTACTTCTATTTTGTTTCAAGATATACTGATTAATCAAGCCTATGAAGATAAATCAAATTATATACTTTTCATTGCAAGGTATCCTGTAAATGAAAATGATATCCAAAGATTACATAAATATAGAACATAAAACCAGAATATGTGAAACTTGGAAGGGTGCTGAGCATATTGGATACCCACCGAGCAAAGAATATACCACTTTTCCTGGACTTTCTCTGTGTATGTGAGATTGTGTGCGAGCTTGTGTGCATGCACATACTCATCTATGTACTTGTGTCTAAGTCACACACACAAATTACAATTTAATTACTCCAAGCATGCTGGTATTCACATCACTTCGGCATGAAGTTGGAATTTTAAGACTGGGCTACCATTCTCTTTTCTGTGAGCTCAGGCCCCGCACAGTTTTGGTCTACTGCTCATGATGGTGCGCATACAGTTGAGAACTAAATATAAGCTCTCAAAACCAGACAAGGTACCCAAAGACCCGAAACTTACAGATCCCTGGAGAGAGCAGAGCCATCTTCCCACAACCAGGCACCATATGTTTCATTGTAAGAGAGCCCAAGCCAGTAAAAATGTTCACTGTGTTTCAAAAAACCCTGTGTGGAAACAGACAGGCATTTTAATCTAGGTTAATATGCATCAGACTCATCTCATCAGTCACGCAAGTCAAAGTCCTCTTTAATTTCTAATCTAGAAGGGGCAGTCACAGGGCTCAGATTTCTCATTTATCAGGCCCATTCATATACAGTAGTAGAAACCCTCATCTTTCTCCAGAAGAATAGCTAATGGTTTTCAATTGCTGGCCTTGAAGTTTTCAGCCCACCATGTAAACTACGAAGATACCAGGACCCCTAAATAAATGAACATACAAAAACAGGGCTTACCAATTCACCCCAACTTTCTAGCGTAAGCAGACTGGAATTTTGAGAAGCACAAGACCTCCTACTTTCTGCCCAAGTTTTTGTTTCATTAGAAATGAAATAACAGTTGCATCGGAAGCCAATCCACTTTTCTGGACACAAACAGCAAGAGACTAAGAAAAAAGTCAAACATGATCGATGGCACTGGGTATTTCAAAATGTCAAGACCATTTAGTCACTACTCAAAAATTACTTATTATTTATTCATATCTACTAGTAATATTCTCTGAGAATCTACTATAAATGCACATATGCACAGCACATTACATACAGATAGTATTAATGTGGTCAAAGGTTTATCCCCCATGGAGACTATATTCTAGAGATAGAATCAGAATTATATCATTTCTAACCACTTTATTAATTACATTGAATAATAATCTTAGTAAGTACATAAAATAAATACAGTATATTAAAACAGCCTGTAGCAGAACATGAAATAAAGGAAGCTAGAAGAATATTTTTTCTTTGTATTTTTAAAAAGTTTTTATCCAAAATTGAGTTAAATTGTGTAAGCAGGAATTAATTACATCAAAGAGAAATGTAAATGGGGAGGCATTTTAGCGTATTTCCTGAATCAGAAAAATAATACAAAGCATTGATAAAAGTCATATACATATGTGTTTAAAATCAAGGAAAACAGAGTAATTAACTTGAAACTCAGTATCAAAGTAATCAGAACCAACAGCCCCCAATTTTCTTCTTCTTAGTGGTAAAGGCAGAACAGAGTAGGGATGCAAACGTTTACCAAATGAGTAGCTCTGAAGTTGTTGGAATAAAATGTAAATCAAGACAACAGATGTTGAGGAGTGAGGAAAAATAAGACGAGTTAAAGGGATTTTGATGGATAAATAGAATTTAGAACTACAGGCGCACTTTGGGCACTGAAGTCTGAATCTATCTGAAGCAAATACCTAGGAAAAAATGAGTGAGGCGAACACACAGGCAGGTGATCATGGTAAACTGTTAACTTTACTATTGTTTATTTTAATGTGTTAATGATGAACCTACTGAAGGAGAAATGTTTACCATTTCAACATGTTTTTATTACTGTGCACATTCAATTTAATATAATCATTTTTAAATTTGAGAACAATGAAATTAGATTATTTTATTATGAAGGAAGTGAATTTGTGTGATATGTATTCCCTCGAGCCATCTGTGTAAAAGAAGAAACTGTCCGTTTTATTTTACCAAGAAGAATGAGTCAAAATCAACTCACCAGCTTGAGACATAGCAACAATAAGGTCTGCCAAAGGCTGGTGCCTACCTTTCTGGAGTTCTGTGGTGAATTCAGGAGAAACAGTAGACTCAATACTTTGTTCACTAAACACTATAAAAAATTATTAGAAATTTACAGAATTAGGTACAGACTTAAGGGTCTTCATGAGCTAAAAAACAAAACCTACTGCACATTAATATGAGTCCTTTATTACTAAATGCTTTAAGCAGTATTGATCTATATAAAAATAGACACTTACAATTTTTCAGCAAAATTCCCAAAGTAGCCATCAACAAAAAGCATATTACTCCTAAAATCCCAGAAATCAGTCTCCATGAAACAGTGTGAAAAACTGTAGTAAAAGATAAAAACATGAGGATTTAAAGAACAAATACAGGGACTGATGTTTAAAAACAAGAAAAACAAAAAAAGAAGCCATTTAGAAAACTTCCAAAAAGAATTTTTAAAAATTTTGTGGGGGAAGGGAGACAATGAGTAGTGTAAGATACGAAATAATAATAACAATATATAATTGACAAGGATTCATGAGGGTGGGAGGGTGAGCAACAGAGAGCGGGGGCGGGGGAGAGGCGCTTATACCAAGGGCTCAAATAGAAAATGTTTTGGAAATGATGATGGCAACATAGGTACAAATATACTTGATATAGTTGATGTATGGAATGTTTTACGAGCTGTTAAGAGCCCCCAATAAAATGATTTTAAAAATATAATTGTTAGACATTTGATGACAATCCTTTCTCTAATGCAACTTTGAAAATCAATAGCATTCCATTTAGAACGTGATACCAGCATTTGAATGCAGTGTACTTTATTTTCAGTGAAATTATCCACATATTCCCTGCTCTACCAACTCCCTCGCTAGAAGACAGTAAATTCACCATTTATTTTTAAAACTGGCAAAGAGCAGAGAAACCTAGAGTAAGAAATGAGCAAGAGGCTCCAAGATACAGTGTGAGCTCCCAGGACATACATTTACTTTTATTCTTTCAACAAGTATCAAAAGGTAGAGAACATTAAGTGGTGAGAAAATGGAGGGTCCGTGAGAATGAGAGCAAGTATCCACATCAGAAATCCAATGAAATTGTGTCTAAATCCAGAGTCTGTCATTAAACATGCTCTGTCATTGTCGCTGGCAGTAACCCTATTTCGGTGTGTGCCTTCAGTTAACCCGCTGCAGGCTGCCTGAGATACCCTCCTGCTCTTAGCTCTGTGGCAGTCTGTTACACGGAAGAAACTGCACAGAGCACTCTGGGTCTGGTTCCACATCAGTGCATGATCAATATCTTGGAGAGCGTTGTTCCTTTTCCTGGATATTGAATTATGATTCAAAAACAATCTTTGTTACAAGAAAATTACATTGTCTCATACCCAAAATGTGCCTATGGACTTTTGGCCACAAACAAATCAACATTAGGGAATTCTAGATTAACGTTATCATACGACTTATGATTTCATTAACCATAGTATATGGCAATTTCTTATATTAGTGATCTTTGTATATTACCCAAAAAATGCTGTGTTTTTTAAATGCTGTATTTTTAAGAAACATTGTTAAATGTGTCAATAATCTAAAACATTCTGGATTTCTATGCTAAGAACTAAGGTAGTCATAATTTAACCTGGTGAACTCAGTTCTCATTCAGAATTCAGAATTCAGTCACTCTTTTAACTTCTTGGGGAATCATCACAAAATTATTTCTAAGTATCACAATGATGAACCAAGAAATTAAATTTCATATGGAGAGTACAGACAAAGTACATTACAAACTTAAAACGGTCCACTATTTACAGGACCTACTTTACCCCAAACCCTGCCCTACCATTACTCAGGACCATCAGATAATTTGTGTGGCTGTTTGTATTTTTAAAATTTCGAATAGAGGACACACATACCTGCCATGAGAACTGACTCTTCAAGCTCGATGCAGAAAAGGTGATGCGTGCCGTTTGGAAACGTGTGGCGCTGGATCAGATTGCTGGTCAGGAAGCTTAGAAATTCCCAGGTCTATGTGGAAAATGTAAACTGAAAGAGAAAACAATGCGTATTTAAATAGTGTTTTCTCATCACCGGTCAGTGAGCCAGGTATGTAGCATGAGAGAAGCATTACAGCCAGCAGCTTCTAAAATGGACCGGATATCACAGTACAGGAAATTATCACGGGCTGTTAGTAGTGAAAACCCTGTGATTGGAACAAGACTGAGGGAAAGGAAGTTGTTGCTTTTTAATCTTTTGAAATAAAGACTGTCCAAAATATATGTTTATGTCACATAAAAATTGGGGGATGGGGGAAAGAAGGTATATAGAAAAATAAACTGGGCTTTTACAATGTACCAAGTACACTGAAGCACTTTATATAGATTAACTCACTTATCAAAAGGTCAAGATAAGGAAGATACTAATGTCCTTACATACCAAGAGGAAGACTGAGGTCCCATGGAAGAGGTAATGTAACTGGTCACTTAAGATGAACACACAGAGATGTACACCAGAGCACACATATTAGAAACATCATGCCCACCCAATGAAGGCCACCTTCTCTGTAATTTGCATTTCCTTTCTCCTAAATAGAATAGATTGTCTGATAGTCTCTCTTTTTAGTGTTTAACCTCCTTGCCTCATCAAATCAGCCAGGAAAGGCACAGAACCCATTAGTATTCTATGTACACACACACACACACACACATACACACACACACACACACACACACGCCTGAGCTATCAAGGCCTATCAATTTGCCTAAGCCCATATTTCAATAGTTTACTCACATTAACTTTGAATACTTCTTTTAACACTTGGCTTTCCAATGTTTTATTTCATAAGACTCTTTAAAGATGGCTGCAGCTGCTCTGATAAATTTCATTTTAATTAACATGTTAGTTATGATAATTATTTACAGTATTATTGCATTCAGATAATATACTGATAGTTCAGCTTAGTCTGCTTATTCTTTTTAAGCCTCAATAAGGTCTTTAGTAAGTATTTCAAATATGGAATAGATAGGTATCTGAAATACAATCTACTATTCAACCCAAATGAAATCAAATTCTTAATAAACCATGCTATTGGGTTTTTTAAAATATATGCTATTATTCTAATAATTCTATAGAAGGACTTTTTTGTAACCTTGAGTATTTCCTTCAACAAGCTCAGGTTTTTTGTTTCATTTCTCAGTTTCCATGGAGTCAAAAGTTTCTTATCCTTTTAATTGGTCTCTTTTGTGTAGGGTTGCTTTCACTCACTCACTAAAAATTGCTAAAATGTAGATACTTACTTAAAAATATCAAGAAGCATATTCCTTTTTCCAGCTCTTATGCAAATCATACTTGAGAGGAACTATGTCTATAAGTAAATCCTTGAACAGATTAGAATTGCTTGTCAAGTACAGGGCTGGACATTGCTGAAACAACATAAAGTCATGCACTTTTGTTCATTCTTTGCCGGGTATAAAAACGTCATAGCGCTGTCTGAGTTTAGGATTTTTCTTTCAGCTTTAGGTTTGGGATGTAAATTTGTTGTCAAAATTGTAATAAAACATAAAGAGATATTACTACCATTTTATAACAATTATAGGGTTCTTTTATTGGAAAATCATCCTAAGGTTTTAGAATCATGTCTGATGGAACAATAATTTATCGTATTCTTTTCATCTTAATTCTGTAACCCAGAAGTAGAAAGCCTGTAAACTCATACCCAACTCATGAACTCTATTCCAGGCTCAGATCTGCTTCTTAATCATCCTGTATATTACTTCTTCCTTTGTATTCTCACTCTTTATACCTGTAGTTTTGAAGGCATTTGCTTCTTATTGAAATAAATAGTCTCCACAGAAGCACATAGAATAACTGATCAGAAACCTTATGTTCAAATTTTATTGACTTTGGATTCCTTCGAACACTTTGGTGTCAGCAGCTGGATTCAGAACCAAATTGGTGATCCACCCAAAGAAAATGACCATGCCAAGTGCCCATTCTCACTTTTGCTTAAGAATGGAGGCATGTCCATGTCACTTTTGTTATTGGTTGGTAATGATTTGTTTCAGATTAAGTTCCTCTACAAGGTTTTCTTGGCTGTAATCATAATAGAAGCACATTTCTGGTCCTCTCTTCAATATTTGGTGAGTTCATATTATCAGCATTTAGATGAGCAATTGTGTGACATTTAATATCCTCTATACTAGTTCTAATGATCCCTGGTTGTATGGTGGGTATGTCGTTGGGCTGCCTACTGTAAAATCGGTAGTTCAAACTCCTCCATTGGAGAAAGATGATGCTTTCTGCCCCATAAAAATTTCAAATCTCAGAAACCCTCAAGGGTACTTTTACTCTGTGCTGTGGGGTCAATGTGAGTCAGAATTGACTCAATGCAGTGAGTTTGTTTTTTGTTAATTAGTTCCCCTTTATATCTCAGAGATATCAAAAAGCTACATAATTACCAAAAAAATAAACTCAATTAAAAATACTCTAACAAAGTCATTTAAATGGTTCCTTGAAGAAAATGAGTAAAAACAGTCTCGTAGAATATCTTCAAATACTTATCTCTGAAAAGTTTCTTACACTCTAACATCTTTAATTTTATTCCTATGATGTTAATCCTTGAGATACTTTATCTTATTTCACTGTTAGGAAATTAATGGTTTATGTGTTCAACTTGTGAAATAAAATTATGTTTTGCTTTACGAAAAGAATTGTCTCATTTACAACACTACATGTTAGGTATTATAAAATTAAATGTTAGAAACCTATGTGATAAATGATCATACACATATATAATTTTAACACCTATGATTATGCTTTTAACTGTATCTACATTTACAAGCAGCTTGTCTTCTTTCACATAACTAGACAGGCAATCATGCTCACTGAAGCACGTGAATATTAGTGAACATATTCTGTTTCCAGACTCCAAAGGGCTTGGGACCATGGTTCACTGATATTGTGATTGTCTTAGTAAGGTTTCTGTTTAAGCTTTTTAAAATTTTTGGTTTGAGGGAACATTACTGAGAAAATTAGCCTGATACTCAATAATTTATAATTTTTATAATGATTTACAACATACTTCTTTGTTAAAAGATTTATGTATTCTGATAGAATCCTCCTTTTCAAAGAGTTTTTTTCATCTAAAATGTTACTAGAATTGCACTTAAGTACTTTGAAATGTTTACTAATGAAAGCACTAACTGACTAGGTAAGTGATGTTTGTACATTAGGCAAATTGACTATAAAACCTGCATAACAATTTGTTAATGGTATTCAATCGTTTATATTTGACAAAATATAGCCCTCTGTGCATAAACTAGCTGATTCAAGACATGAGTCAAAAGGTTCTGCCAAGTTTGATGTTATACATTTCCAAGTCAAGAAAAGTGTGCAAAACCAAAATAACATGCCAATTTATCTTTACTTTTCAGCTGAAGTAGACTGGAATCTAATAAGCACAAGAAGTCCTAGGTTCTGCCCATATTTTTTCTTCATTAGAAATGAGATAACAGTTTCATTGGTACTTAATCCACTTTTCTAGGCAAGAACAGCAGTCATCATCTAAGAGAAAAAAATGAAACATAGTTCAAGTTGCCAAACATTTCAAACATTCAATATTATTTACTCATTAAAAATAATTGGTTATTTATCCATGTTTTCCACAAATATTCTTTGAGAATTTACTCTGCAAGGAGGCTTCAAAAACTTTGTAGGGAAATTAATTCCATTTTATTTTAATTCCATTTTTCCTTGAACTTTCTGAAGCCTTATTATATATGTTTCTGTCCACATATGCTATTATCAGAGAATATTAATGTGATTAAGTCAGAAATGACCCTTTCTCTCTTGGAGTCTCTAGAAAAACAAACAATTGTATCATTTCCAATCATTCACTATGGCATTCCATGATGATTTGGGGAAGTATACAAACTAGGCTCATGATAATAAAACAGCACGTAATAAAATAATACACAATGGAGGAAATCCAACTCCTTCCTTCGTAAAGCATTGACTGAAAGCTGAACTCTGAATCAGAAACAAGATAAGTAGATTAAAGAGAAATTTAACTAGAGAAAGGTATTTAGCATATTTCATCTCTTGGAAAAACTACAGTGCAGTGGTGGCTCAATGATTAAAGCACTGACCTGCTAACCACAATGTCAAAGGTCAGCTATCTGAATACAGCAGCGGCACCTTGGCAGACAGATGAGGCAGACTGCTACATTAGAGATTACAGACTGGGAAACCCTAGGAGGCAATTCTACTCTGTCCCATGGGGCAGCTATGAGTAAGAATTAACTCAAGGATATTTGCTTCTTTTTTAAAATGAAGATAAATAAAGCAATTAACTTGAAGTTTGAGAATACAGGTTTTCAGGGATACTGTCTTCGGAGTTTCTTAGTTATAATTTTTTTAAAATGCAATCAAATGATTACCAATTGATGGGTCTGAAGTCGTTGGGATAAAATATGAAGAAGAAAAAACTACTATAAGACAACAAGTAGTAAAACTCAGAAAAGCAAACACACTGCCATCAAGTTGCTTTTGAACCATAGCAACCCTGCAGCACAGACTTGAATGCCCCCTGTGGTTTTCCAGATTCTTCATCTTTATGGGAATAGAAATCCTCTTCTTTCTCCTTCGGAACAACTGGTGCTTTTGAATTACTAAACTTGGGGTTAGCAGAAAAAGAAAAAAAATTAACAAACTTGATTTTGGTGCAGGTTCTCACTAACTAAAGAAGATATACGAGTGCAGGAATGTGGACACCAAATGCTGTGACATAAATTCCAGCAGAAACACCTGTACACAGAAGGGTGATATGGATTATGAGAAAACAAAGGTATATACTCAGTACTGTAACTTTGACTGGTCTTTCTTACCTGATGCGTTGTTTAATGAGTAGTCATATAGGGAAAACACTCTTGTCTATTGAAACTAATATTTTTTACTACTTGAACATGTTAGTGATGCA